TGTCACGGAATGCCAGGAGAAAACAAGGTAGATCCAAATGCAGTAGTTTATTAAAGTAACAAATAATCAGAACAGAACAAAAATAGGCAAAAGGTAAATTCAAAACACAGGGAACAGAAAACACGACATAACTCAAACAATACTGCAGCAAAGACAGACAGTGAGAGCATGGTATAAGTAGTGATGAAATGATGAGTAAATTGCCAACAGGTGATAATGATCAGAACAGAATGACAAAGCAAAGGACTATGGGAAACAGAGTTCAAAACATGTAACACAGAAACAGGAAGAGCGCCCTCAAGTGGCCAGTCCAGGGCACCACAACCAGACACTGTGACATTACCCCCCCTCTACGGAGCGGATACCAGACGCTCCACCAGAACACACAAAAGTTCAGGAGGGAGGTGGAATTGAGGCGGACCAGGGGGAGGGACGGCGGGCCAGGACCATACAATGGAAGGGGGCCAGGGGACAGAGATAGACCAGGGCATGAGCACAGAACCGGCAGGGTGAAAGGCCAAGGCGGGGCCGGCAGGATGCACCAGCAAGGCCCCAACAACACAGGAACCCCAGCAGATAGCCTGGATGGAGCCGGAGGAATGAGCCAGTGAGGCTCCTGCCAAACAGGAACTCAAGCGGGTAACCAGAGCCAAGCCGGAATCCTGCCTGGCAGCAATGGTGGGACAGAAAAACCCCTCAAGGACCCAAGGCAAGCTGTAAACAAGAGCAGAGAGAGTTTAGTACCAGCCTCAACAGCTGCAACAGGACCGACAGATTGCTCCGCAATAGTCTCCTTGGCCATGACCGGGTGGAGCAAGTGTTCCACAAGGAACTCAGAGGGCTCACAGACTGGAATGATTTCATAATTGGGCTCTGAACGCTCCTGGACTGGAGCATGTCCTGGAGTGGATTCCGTAAAATCCTGAACTGGAGCAGGCTCAGAATTGGACCTTGTGAGCTCCTGGACTGGAGCATGTCCTGGAGTGGACTCCGTGAGCTCCTGGACTGGAGCAGGCTCCGAAGTGGACCTTGTGAGCTCCTGGACTGGAGCATGTCCTGAAGTGGACTCCGTGAACTCCTGGACTGGAGCAGGCTCAGAATTGGACCTTGTGAACTCCTGGACTGGAGCATATCCTGGAGTGGGCTCCGTGAGCTCCTGGACCGGAGCAGGCTCTGGAGTGGACTCCGTGCGCTCCCGGACCGGAGCAGGCTCTGGAGTGGACTCCGTGCGCTCCCGGACCGGAGCAGGCTCTGGAGTGGACTCCGTGCGCTCCCGGACCGGAGCAGGCTCTGGAGTGGACTCTGTGAGCTCCCAGACTGGAGCAACTTTCTTAATGAGCTCTGAGAGCTCCTGAACTGGAGCGGGCTCTGAAGTGGACTCCGTGCGCTCCCGGACCGGAGCAGGCTCTGGAGTGGACTCTGTGAGCTCCCAGACTGGAGCAACTTTCTTAATGAGCTCTGAGAGCTCCTGAACTGGAGCGGGCTCTGAAGTGGACCTTGTAAGCTCCCGGACTGGAGCGGGCTCCACTGTCCTCCTCCTCGCCCTCCGCCGCTCAGTGGGAGTCTGAAGGGTAGAGGTGGTGGGAAAATCCCTGCGGAAGGGTTCTGATTGGCCTGGTATTGCCCACTGACTTCGACTATGGAGATACTTGACGAAGCCCCAGAAATCCAGGATCCCGAGTACCTCCATTTCCCACTGGGGCAAAGGATCATCCAAACAGACATTAAAGAAGTTCTTAAGTGCAGCCTCATTATAATTCAGCCCCACCGCCAACGTCCAAAAGGTCTGGGCAAAACCAC